TGATAGTAGCCATGACACCTGGGCTCGCACATTTAGCAATTCCGGATCTTTAAATAAAGGGGTGACTAAATTAGCCCTCAACTCACCGGATATAGGGCACTCCGTAATCATATGTCGGATGGTTTCGATTTTATCATATGAGCATTTGCATGTTCTATTAGAGGATGATACTCTATTATATATGCCCTCCAAAACCGCCAAGGGCAGAACGTTCAGTCTTGCCAAAGTAAAAGCTCTTCTTAGTTTGTTTGTTTTTTAAAAATATATTTTATTGGGGATGTTTAAATCCCCCCGAAAGTGCAAGAGCGTTCCGTGCGCATGCGCACGGAACGCTCTGTAGCTGACCTCGCCGCCGCCGCCTCCTCGGAGCCGGGTGGGCGGGCGGAGGACCGGCCTCGCCACCGCCAAGCCCGGCAAAGGGGGGGAAGGAACGGCCTCTCCGCCGCCGCCTCCGAGGCGGGCGGGGGGGGGACCGGGCCCGCCTTATACCTAAATATTTAAATTTCTTTACTCCTAACCCTATATTTGTAAAGGTAAAGGTTCCCTTGCTCGAAAGCCATTCGAATCCGACTCTAGGGTTGCGGTGCTCATCTCCGTTTCAAAGCCGAAGAGCCAGCGCTGTCTGAAGATGTTTCCGTGGTCATGTGGCCGGCATGACTAAACACCAAGGTGCACGGAACACTGTTACCTTCCCACTGAAGTGGTACCTATTTATCTACTTGCAATTTCTTGCTTTTGAACTGCTAGGTTGGCAGGAGCTGGAACTAGAGATGGGAGCTCACTCCGTCTTGCGGCACCTGGGTCTCGAACTGCTGAACTACTGACCTTCCACAGCCTGCAGCCTGCAGTTCAGTTCTATTTATTTCCTTCTTTCCCTCTCTACTTACATTTAAGTATATAATTTCTGATTTTGTCATATTGACGCTTAACCCTGAGCATTTTTTGAAATCATCTAAAATAATCTTTACTTCTTTTACTCCTTCTTTTGGGTTTGTCATAATAATTATGATATCATCTGCGAATAAATTTATTTTCATTTCTGCCTTACCTATCTTATAACTTTTTATTCTTCCCGAATTTCTGATCCGTTCGGCCAACTGTTCTATTGCCATTATGAAAAGCAATGGTGATAATGGACACCCTTGCCGTACCCCTCTTTGTATAGGGAATGCTTGTGAGTGCTCGTTATTTACTCTTACTATTGCCTTCCCTACTTTGTAGATTTCCTGTATTGCCTCTAGGAATTCCTTTTCGATTCCCACTTTACTCATTATTTGCCATAAGTATTCATGAGATAAGGTATCAAAGGCTTTGTAGACATCCAGTTTTAATAGACCTATTTTCTTCTGCTGTCCATGTTATAAAACATTTAGAATATTTCTTATAGGGTGGGCTATACTTCTACCTTTTACAAACCCATATTGATCTCCTTTTATTATAGATGGGATAACCTTCTTTAATCTGTTGGCCATTATTTTAGCAAAGATCTTATAGTCTTGGTTTAGGAGACTTATGGGTCTATATGATCCTACTTCTTTAGGGTCTTTCTGAGGTTTCCGTCTTCCTCCATGAGTCCGGAGCACTTTTGCCTTCCAGGACTCTGTTGAACAATACTTGGAGTTCTGGTACTAAAATGTCCTTCATTTCTTTGTAAAATCCACCCGTGAAACCATCTAGACCTGGTGATTTACCCCTTTTTGGTTCTCTTCCCTTATTTCTTGGGCCATAATTTCATTCTTTAATTTTTCTCTCTCTGTTTCTTCTATTGTTTGGCTGATTTCCTCCTGAAAGTCTACTGTATTCTTCTTTTTATACAGATTTTTGTAAAAGCTCTCAAAGGCCTCTGTAATTTTCTTTGGGTTTTGTGTTAATTTCTTATTATATTTTATGCATTTAACACTTTGCTTTGCTGTTTTAATCTTCAGATAATTTGCCAATCTTTTTGCTGTATTAATACTATTCCTCTGAAATTCATTCTTTACCATAAGCTCCTTTTTCCATAATGTCGCTATATCTAATTCCTCCAGCTGTTTCTGTGTCTCCTTAATTTTACTCTGTACCCTAGGATCATATTTTTCCATTTGTTTTCTTTGTAGCTTCTCTAATTCCTGAAGTTTGGGTTGTCTTTTTTTATACCATTCCCTTTTTATAGTCTTTTCTTTCTTTATGCAGTGGCCTCTTATTACCGCCTTGGCACCATCCCATAATATGTTAGTGGATACCGTCCCTCTATTTTCTTTAAAGTATAAACTTATTTGTTTCTCCATGTATTTTCTATCTTCTTCTTTGATCATTATTAAATTATTGTATTTATTAAATTATTGTATTTCCATGGTCTTTTTGTATTAAACTGCTTTATTTCAATTTCGATACTTATGGGTGCGTGGTCAGATATCCAAATTGGATGGGTTTTTGTATCTTTTATAATCATTTTTTCTAAGATTATATAGTCTATGCATGATGACGTTTTGTGTCTACTAGATATGTGTGTAGGCCTCAGTTGTATCCCTATAAACTCATGCGCTTCCTTCAATCCCCATTCACACAGAGGTCTGCGAAGGCTTGCCTGCCCACTTTGAGGTTGCTACCAATCAGCCCAGTCCCAAATGTGGAATGAATGGCGAATCGGCCATGAGGCTTTTTAAAGCTTTTTCCAAGCTGGCTGAGCAGGGCTTTGAACCCCAGCTTCCCACGGGGCCTTGGACTGGAGCCTGCCTACTGTATCATACTGGCTCTCAGTATGAAAATGATGTCACCACAGGAGCAAGAATTAAGAGCGTAGCTACAGATCTTTCACATGAACAACACTGCAATCCTAAGAACACTTTCCCAGGAGTAAGCCCCACTGAGTAGATTTTGGTGGGATTCTGACAGACAGACTTAGGATTGCACTGTAAATGTCTCCTGAGTGGCTGGTTATCGAAACGTCATTCTATTTATCTCTCACACTCAGCCACACCTTTCGACTAGCTTTGTTTGAAATCACTCCTGATTTTCCCTAAGTATGTGTTGGGAGCCATTTTAGGTTTAAATTCTTTGTTCAGAATCAAATGGTTTATTGTTTGCTGTCAGAATAAGCCTTGCTTTCTTACGTGCAGTCTGTTCTGTATGTAAGTTACCAGTTACTAGAAGTTGTTATGGGGTGGCCACCCCCGCTGAGCTCCCCCCACCAGGAGACTCTTCTGGCTGAGCACAAGCCACTTGCCAGGCAGAGGGACACCTCAGGACCTGGCTGAGCTGCAGCATCACCCCTGGCTTAGCCAGCCTGGGAGGTGAATTGCACCCCCACCCTGCCCGAGCAAGCCCTCCCTCCATCAGGGGAGCATGACCGGGGAGGGGACATGGCAGAGACGGGGCAGGACCCTTCCCAAGGTCCTTTTACCCCCCCAGTCTCCCCCCAAAAAAACGTCTGCCGATTATTGCTGTGTCTGCTTTTCAAATGTGTTGTTGAAGCAGCAGATTATTGCTGTGTGGAAGCAGGAAGGCCAAGTGGGGGTACTATTTTTAAAAGCATGAAATTGGTTTGACCAAAAGCAGTTACGGAACGGGGGGGGGGACCCCGAGTTTGCAGGTTCCTTTGTGATCACTACAAAATTGTCTATGTAGATAAACACCCATCCTTTTAAATATTAATGAGACATCAAAATGTTCACTATTATTCCAAGTTCTATTCATTAAAGGGTTGCCAAACTCCAGGTGGTGGCTGCAGATCTCCTGGGATTACAACTGATCTCCAAGCAACAGAGATCAGTTCACCTGGAGAAAATGGCCTCTTTGGAAGGTGGACTCCATGGCATTAATACCCCATTGAAGTCCCTCTCCAAGCCCCACCCTCCTCAGGCTCCACCCCCGAATCTCCAGATATTTCCCAAACCAGAGCTGGCAACCCCAACCATCCCATCAGGTGCACCGAAATGTATAAACATCTGTTGTTGCACCAGTGGTCATTCTCCTGGAGAACTTAGAGCACTACCAAACCTACAGAATCAGTAGACCAGCAAGTCATGGTGGAGCACATAAGAAGAAGAAGAGATTGGATTTATACCCCGCCCTTCACTACCCAAAGGTGTCTTAGGGTGGCTTACAAACTCCTTTCCCTTCCCCTCCTCACAACAGACTCCCTGTGAGGTAGGTGGGGCTGAGAGGGCTCTGACAGAAACTGCTCTTTTTCAAGAACAGCTCTTATCAGAACTACGGCTTGCCCAAGGTCATCCAGCCAGGTGCCAGTGGAGGAGTGGGGAATCAAACCCGGTTCTCCCGGATTAGAGTCCGCGCACTTAACCACTACACCAAACTGCTCTCTAATGGATCTAATGGATCCATGGGTACCACAGGAATTGGGTTGCCAGGTTTTACCTGTCTGCTAGCGGGGGGCTCCAGAGGGGGTTCCTGGATCTTCTGGTGCAGATACAAAGTGTGCGCATTGCAATTACATCAACCGGAAGTGACGTCTTTGCACCGGGCATGTTGGGCGTGACCGGGGTCTTTGGGGGTGGGGCTTCCCCTGCCAGCCAGCTGGCCAGCAGCAGATTGGGGACCCCAAAAGTGGGGAGGCCCCACCCCCATTGGAGGGATGGCAACCCTACACAGGAATAAGAAGCTCTACACTGCCACCTCCAAGTCATCTTCCGTACATCGCCACTAATATTCCATCTTAGGCACTAACCAGTTCAAGCCTGAGCATTTCCAAATTGTCTTCCCACTGGCACATTTGTAGAGGGCCATATATAAGATTTCAAAACTGTAGTTAATGTTAAAAGATGAAAAGTGAGATAATTGTACATTTTAGAAACATGCGTACCTATGGAATGGATTTTACTGCTCTCTTTCCACTGTAAAAGTTAATTAATCATTACCAAAGGAGTTGATGAGTCTGACTCCATCTCTTGTACAGGTAACTTGAGAAATATAACTAACAACATGGCGTGAAAAAGCAGGGGCTAACTGCAGGTGCAGTTATTTGTATAACAAATAACTGACTTCCGGTTTCTGTTTTCTAGGACAAAAAGGGTCAGCCATTGTTACCGGATAACTTACCGACACTTGGAGAGGACCCTGGTTCAGAAGGAAGTAAACCGTATCCATCAAGCCATTGAGGAATCAGTTGTACGAGAGTTGGGAGTTGAAGGACGATTTTGACCTTGTTATTTTGAATTTGTTGGTTTTCATTTTCTGTTTATCCTGTTCAGAGCAATCTCTGTTACACTGAAGCCTCTGGGCAGTGGTGTAACTTTCTGGTAATAAAAATTAGTGATATAGCACTTCGTATTGACATTAATAAATACCTTGTCAAGTAATCTTTGTATGTTATTAATTGGCCCCTGCAGCTGTTTACTAAATCATAAACAATTTACTAAATTGTAAACAAATGTGTACTATTTTTGTACTGATGAAATGCACTTATGGAAGAACCTCAGGTCAAATATACACAAGCCTTCTATGAATACTTTTGAATTAGGGCAGAAGTAGGCATTAAAGAGGAAATATGGGGGAAATATGGGGTTAAAAATGTAAAGGTTCCCTTGCTCGAAAGCCAGTCAAATCCGACTCTAGGGTTGCGGTGCTCATCTCTGTTTCAAAGCCGAAGAGCCAGCGCTGTCCGAAGACGTTTCCGTGGTCATGTGGCCGGTATGACTAAACACCAAGGCGCACAGAACGCTGTTACCTTCCCACCGAAGTGGTACCTATTTATCCACTTGCAATTTCTTGCTTTTGAACTGCTAGGTTGGCAGGAGCTGGAACTAGAGACGGGAGCTCACTCCGTCATGCGGCACCCGGGTCTCGAACTGCTGAACTACTGACCTTCCACAGCCTGCAGTTCAGCGTCTTAACCACTTGAGCCACCGCAGCTCCTTATTTTTATTATTTATTACCACCCCTTATTTTCCCTTGCAGTACTATTGCGGGAACTAAGAGGACACTTGTAGAACAGAAACAGCAGGCAAGAGAACAAGGGCTGAAATCATCTCCTGCCCACCTATTCTGCGCTGCAAATGTGCATCCTCCCAGGTAGTTTAGGTGGTTCCCCCCCCCCCCCGGAAGTCTGCCTTTGAAACAGGAAATGAGCTGGGGGGGGAGTCAGGAGAGGATTTGTGGTTGACAGTGAGCAGGCACAGAAGGAGGTAAAGACTCCTCACTCCTGAGAACCAATCTGCAACTTTAAGAGTCTTCCTGTTATAGCTGCAAAAATGGGGTGGGGACTCTGTATTCACCAAGATAACTTCTAGTTTGACCCTTAGTGATCCCCCCTCAGGATTCATTTCCACAAACAGCTGAGCCGGGAGAGGAGAAAAGATTGCCGACTCAAAGAAAGTTGGGGTTGAAACCAAACTGGAAGTCCTTTCGCCAAGCTAGTGGAATTGGCCTCCAAGGGCACCTTTACACAGAAATCAAAGTAGGAACAACAACAACAAAGCCTTTATTAGGATCAGTCCTGAGTCAGATGATACGAAAGCTTTCAGGTTTCAGAGCACTCTTCCTCAGAAGGAACGTTAAAGCCATTATTATGAAAAAGTGTATGGGGCAGGGTGGTGCTTAGCGGGCATGATGCTGAGTCTCTCTTGACTGATGCTGTATAGGTCTGAAGATGGTGATAGAGGAAGAGCTTTGTGCATATAGATGCTGGAATATACAAAGTCATACTAGGATGCGTAACAATAATATTTAATTTGATCTATCTGGTTTCCTGTATAGCTGTTAGAACAGGAAAGAGTTTTGGATTTCCTAAGTCACTAATTGGGCCCGCGGTGGCTCAGAGGTTAAGATGCTGAGCTGCAGACCAGAAGGTCTGTAGTTCAGCAGTTCGAGACCCTAGTGCTGCTTGACAGAGGGAGCTCCCGTCTCTGGCCCCAGCTCCTGCCAACCTAGCAATTCAAAAGCAAGAAATTGCAAGTAGGTAAATAGGTACCACTTTGGTGGGAAGGAAACAGCGTTCCGTGCACCTCGGCGTTTAGTCATGCCGGCCACATGACCACAGAGAAGTCTTTGGACAGCACTGGCTCTTCGGCTTGGAAACGGAGATGAGCACCGCCCCCTAGAGTCAGATTTGACTGGCTTTCAAGCAAGGGAAACCTTTACCTTAAGACACAAATTGCTTTGCAATTGCTCCCCTTCAGAGTCCAGTGAGTTCTATCACAAACTAACATCCCCAGTACAGTGATGTCAGTCTGGAAATGGCCGTTCACGGAGTACTTGCAATCAGGACTTTATTTATCTCATGGTGTTATTTATTGGCTGCAAGGCACAATTGTCTTGGATCCCCTTATATGTACATGCACTCTCTCTCCCCCTCTTTCTCGTATTGCTGTACCTCCCTGTTGAATAGGATATTGCCGAAATTGATTTTCTCAGAAAATGAGCCACAACAGACATTGCACGCCACACACTCAAAGAATGAATGTCTTCATTTTTGTTAATAGCTTCAATCCTTATTGTCTCCTTTATCTTTTTATTATCAGTAGTAAAATTGTGGGCATTCTTCAGATCCAGAAATGTATTGCTCCCTCAAAGTGTTATGTCTAAGAATCTCAGGACAGTAATGCAGTGATGGTCCAGGTGAAATCTTTCCAAGAGTGTTTCTAGCTTGGGCTGCCAAATGTTCATCCCAATTTAGACTTAAAAAACAAAACAAAACACCAAAGGTGTGTTGTGTGTTGCTTTTCTTTCCATTGCTACTATTATTCTTGAAAATTCCAGGCCCTGTGGCACTTAAACCAAGGACCAGAAGTCCTGTTAAGATATCTAGCTACACATCAAATGTTTATTCTCTTTCTTTATCTTCTGAAAAAATATATTTTAAAATTGATTATTTTTTTACACTACATTTTTTACTGGAGAACTATGGGTGTTATTTATAGGGATGGGCATGAACCGTCTGATGAACTAAAGTTTGTCACGAATTTTGGCCAGTTCATGGTTTGCAAAGCAATGTTCAAGAACTGAAGAACTGCCATGAATTTTCACGAATTTTGATGCAGTTCGTGGCAGTCTGTGAAGAGTAGAAAGCAGGGTTTGGTTTAAATGTGTGGGAGCCGTTTAAACCATTGCTTTCTGCTCCACACAAAAAGCTGTGGGGAGCAGAAAATGGGTTTAAATAGCTCCCAGACATTTCACCCCCTGGTTTCTGCTCACAGCCACTTATGGTGGTGAGCAGAAAGTGGGGGATGAAATGGCTGGGAGCCATTTAAACCCCTGGTTTCTGCTCCCAGCTGCTTTTCATGGGGATCAGAAAGCAGGAGTTTAAACTTCAAATGGCTCATAAACTGATACAAACTGGTTTGGCTCATGAGCCAGCCTCCCAGTTCATATTAGTTTGTGGTTCAGCCATGAACTGAACTGCAAAAATATGGTTTGTGCTCTTCCCTAGTTATTTATTCCATCAACTTATAGTATAGTTATGTTTCTTCAATTATTTTAAATTTAAAGTTTTAAAATATGGATAAGTTGTGTTGAATTAAACATCCTGCTAGAGGCATTTGTTTAATCACACGATCAGTTCCCCCCCCCTGCAGCAGTCACATGTCTAGAGCAGGAGTCCCCAACACGGTGCCCATGGGCACCATGGCCCCCGCTGACACCTTTCCTTGTGCCTGCCAAGTCTTTTTGGACAGTGAGTGGGGCCCGGTGGAGCTTCTGCCCAGCAAGGCTTCTGACTGACTATTGGAAGATTTGACTGGCTGTGCAGATTTTTACAAACGTTGCCTGGTCAGCTGCTGCCACCCTAGCACACGGATCTTTCCTGTGTGACTGAAGGATCTTTCCTGTGTGAAATTTTGTGGCTGACTCCACCTTGTGTGCCAGAGCCATTTTCTAGCGCTGACCATGCTGCATTAAATTTCAAAAGGTTTCCATGGGCTCAAAAAGGTTGGGGAGTGGGGACTCCTGGTCTAGAGGCCTGGTAGGGTGGTTTTTTATAGAGGGCTGCTACATAGGTTATATGCCCCAGATTTAATGCTGTTGGGAAGCGGGGGTGGGGTGCTTCCCACTTCCCCACAACAGTAGCATTCGTGCACCTCCCAGGGTTTCTCCAGTCCTTCGCAAAACTGCTTTGCTGCATTAAATAAATAAACATAGTTATTACTTCCCAACATTACATTTCAGAGGGTGGGTCGGTCAGCAGTAACAAGGCTATTTGCAACAGCCTCCCTGTGCCAAAGCAAATGCACGCTCAGCTCCTCGGTCATCACGATTCTGCCTGTGATGGGGCTCTGGGATAATGAACCATTTGTCTGGCTGCATTGTGATTTCATGCTAAAAGACGTGTAGGCAGGTAACAACAGGCATGTTCCTTCTACCTGTACCAACAATAACCATTGCCTTCCTTTCTCTCGAGGTCGATTCAGACACGATTCAAAGCTGTTATCTTCCATCTCTGATGAATGGCAAATAATTAGCCTGCACGGGTGGAATATTTCATTCTTAATTATCACTATTATATATTATTAATAAAGGTGTTTACTTGCTGTTGCACCAAAACCATTTGTCAGGGGACAGCAAAAGACAGAATAATTCAGGATTACAATTAAGCAGGCCCATAACCGGCTGTGCTACTGCCCCGCAAATGTAAGTGTTCTAATGGGGCAAGAAAGCAGCTGGTTTAGAGGTCTTTATGGCAGGGACCACACCAGAATGTGAAACAAAATGGCTTTCCTTAGAATCCACAGAGGTATTGAGAATCCATCCAGAAATAGTGCCAGTCTTGTCAGGACATTTTTGGTCCCAATGCACCCACCGACATAGCACTACCTCCTGAGAAAACCCCAAGCAGATGCTTAGCTAAGAGAAACTGCTACTTCTGGATGGAAGCTAAGCCACTCCAGGCCCAGAACCAATGGAGGGCCTTGGAGTGACGCCTTCTCCCAAATCTGCCCTGCCCCCTGAATTTTCCCAGGCACTCTGTTGGCAAGCCCCATCCCAGTTGGTCTTCCCAGTCCTGCTGCAAAGTCCAGGGGCGTGTAGACAGAGATCTCTGGGCTGGTGCCAGGCCCATAATGCAGTGTGGGGGGGAAACTACCACGGAACTTTTCCTCTTGCCCTTCAGGCTTGGCTTCCCCTCCCCCACAGCTTCCCGTGGCAAAGAAAGGTTCAGGTGCCCGTGAGATGGAGGGGCAGGGGGCAGAGACTCACTGGGCTAATGAGGGCGTCTGGCTGCACCCGGGGAGCCTTGAACCCAGCCCAGCAAAGCTGCTGCTGGGGAAGAAGTGGAAGGCATGAGGGAGGGAGGGGGGAGGGAGCCAGGCAGGCAGGCTGCTGGTGGGGGAGGGGAGGGCAGGCAACGCCATCTTTCCATGTCACACCACAGTCCTCGGGCCGGCTA